AAGTGTGTAGAAACAGTATAGATGGTGTAGCAAATGCTGAACGACTTAAATCAGCATCACTGAGGGCCAGCTGAGGTTAAATGCAGAACTTTAGTTAGACCCGGTCTACATGGTTTCTTGACTTTGTGTGCTGTATTCCACATCCCCAAGGAGAGGAAGCGGAAGGGAATATTCCCCAGATGGGTGTTTGGCAGAAAGCTAAGGAGGTAAGGAGTTACTTCTGGAACAGTGGAGAGGATCACTTAAATGATTTGAGCCATGAGGTACGTGTTGTGGTAAGGAGCTTGTTAAGATGTTGTAATGTATTACTATGATCTTTGACTTGCTTTAATATTGTTTGACAGTGTCTCTACCCCAAGAATTGCCCTTATTGAAGAGCTCCTTGGAAGGTTCTTAAGAAGATAAAGAAGGTAGTGGAAACAAGCCTCCTGAGCTTTTCCAGCCCTAAATGGCCGCAGAATCAAGAAAGTCGTTAGCCCCATCCCCACCTGACCAAGCTCCTGAAGAAGACCTTGTAATTGTCAAGGTAGAGGAAGATCATGGCTGGGACCAGGAATCTAGTCTGCATGAAAATAACCCTCCTGGCCAAGAGCTGTTCCGCCTGCGCTTTAGGAAGTTATGCTACCAGGAGACATTAGGACCCCGAGAAGCTCTGATCCAACTCCGCGCACTTTGCCATCAGTGGCTAAGGCCAGATTTGAACACCAAGGAGCAGATCTTGGAATTGCTAGTGCTAGAGCAGTTCTTGACCATCCTGCCTGAGGAGCTCCAGACTCTGGTGAGGGAACATCAGCTAGAGAACGGAGAGGAGGTGGTGACCCTACTGGAGGATTTGGAAAGGCAGATTGACATATTAGGACGGCCAGTAAGTAGAAGGAGGTGTGCGTGCTGTGACTGGGAGGTCTGGAAGCGGGCTGGAGGGACATTAGCACCGCAGCAGAATAAATGCTGGGCGTCCGTTTCTGTTGTAGGAGGATGAACATAGTTCTAGTGCACTGTGGCTTGTATTGTGGAGTTCTTTTTCTGTGAAGGCTGGGTGTACGTTTTTTATCCTAATAACATCCTTGCAGCTATTACTGTTCCTGTTTGCCAGATGGGAAACCGATACGTAGAGAGCTTAAGTTACTTGAATTACTCTCAGCACTCATAATTAAAGGTAGATCTGAAACCAGAGCTCAGGTTTCTTCAGTGTTACCAAAGTTTTTTCTACCAAATAGCACTGCTTTAAGTTTCTGTTTATCATTCTTCCCATGCCTTGCGAGTGCAAAATGGCAGGAAGGGCATCAGCAGAAATGATGCCTTTCTGTTCTGTGCTAATGAGCTCATTTGTGTTCTCGCTGCCTGTGGGAAGTAGATGAAATTCTGCTTCTTCCTTTTAACAAGCACATATCCCTAGAGATGTGCTCTTGATCTTCTTAATGTTGTTTGCTTCCTTTCATGAAGGGGTTTCTTGTAATGCATCTGTCCCATTGTTTTCAGGTCTCAGCCCGTGCACATGGACGTGGACTCTGGGAGGAGGTGGTGCATTCAGAGTCTGCACCAGAGCTTCCAAATACTCCGCTCCGACCTGGGGCAACCCAGCACAAATCTCCAGTGCCCCAGGGGCCACAAGAGAGAGGTGAGGGGCCAGATTTCATTGATGAGGAGGGAGAAGTAGAAAAGAAAGTGCCTGTTGAGTTCCTGGAGAACTAGGAAGTAGAATCTCTGTTACAGACCAGTCCTAAGATCTGCGTTTGAATGTTTAGGCTTCAGATACAGACTGTCAGTCCCATTGGTAAATTCATGAACAAATTAAAGAATTTGGGGATTTTTACATCTTCACACATTTCTGTTATCCCGGTGTAGTAACAACATAGGCGTTTTTGAGGTTTTGCTGGTATCATGCCACTTTCTTTGTAACTTTCAGTACATAATTCCTCACACAAGAACATTTTCTTGGATAGCCACAATAAATGTATCACAATTAGGAAATGTAATGCTGATACAGAAATAATCTGGTCCACAGTTCATATTTCTGTTTTGCCAGTTGTCCCAGTAATGCTCTTCCAGAGTCCAGTCCAAGATTACCCTTTGCAGTCGGTTGTCATGTTTCTTTAGACTCCTTTAATTTGGAATAGTTCCTCAGCCTTTCTTTGCCTTTCATGATTTTGACATTTTTGATGAGTACAGGTTGGTTATTTTATAGAATGGCTGCAATTTGGGTTTGTGTAATGTTTCCTTATGTGTAAATTCCAGTTGTGCACGTGTGGCAGGAGCACCCCAGAAGTGCTGTTGCCTCCTCTGCCGTGCCAGAGGAATTTGTCCTGTTACTGGTGTTGGTATCTTTGATGACTTGGTTAAGGTTATTCTTGCTAGGTTGATCACTGTAAAGTTACTGTTTTTCCCTTTATAATTAATAAGTAATTTGTGGAGAGATACTCTTGAGTGTGTTTATTTTTTTTTATTTTTATTTTTTTAAAGATTTTATTTATTTGACAGAGAGACAGCAAGAGAGGGAACACACGCAGGGGGAGTGGGAGAGGGAGAAGCACGCTCCCCGCTGAGCAGGGAGCCCGGTGCGGGGCTTGACTCCAGGACCCTGGGATCATGACCTGAGCCGAAGGCAGACGCTTAATGACTGAGCCACCCAGGCGCCCCTAAAACACTAGTTTTAATATTCATTGATGCTTCTTGACTGATTCAGTGATTACTAAGACAAAATGATGATTTCCACTGTCATGCCTTCTACATTTATTTGTTGTAATAGAGAGTGTTCCCTCCTCCCCATTTTATTAATTTGTCAGTATGGACTCATAAGTCCAGAAATAAAATATCTGTATCTGTCTTTATTTTGTCACCATCTTTATTTTGGTGCTTAAATTGTCTCCGATTTGGTCAGAGGAGGCCCCTTCAGTTTGGCTCCTCCGTCCTTTTGACATTTCCCCATCATTTTTTGAGAACTTCTTACCTTCTTGCAGAACAAGGTGTTCTAGCCTCATCTCGTACTTCTTCTGCATTTATTTATTATTTTCACTTAGTGGTTTGTAGCAGTTTGTTCCATATAAATGGATTTTTAATATTTCTAAAGAAGAAGCATAGAAACAGTTTCGGTTAGTAATATGATTCTTGTCTAAAGTTCTAAAGCCTATTGTTAATTTTGGTATTGCAATGTCTGGTATTTGTAGGAAGCAGATAGTGGCAGTCATGGTAGACATTTCAGAAAGGTAATAGAGTTAATAGATATAAATTGGTTCTCATACTCCATTTGCCAAGAGATCAGGACCTAAAGAAACATCGTACAGAAGCACAAGGATTGAATGTAGCTTTGGTGGGAGAGAAAAAAATTGTAAAGCAATTCCTGTTAGGAAACCAGTACTCTATTTTTGACATGTAACTTCAGGCTGAGCGGGACATCAAAGTGCAGATGTCTTGTGGGCAGCCATAGTTATAGACCCAGAGCCCTCCCCCCACCAAAAAAAGATTTTTTAAAAAGTTTGTTTAAGCAACCTCTGTACCCAACGTTTGAACACACGACCTTGAGATCTAGAGCTGCATACTCCACCTACCAAGCCAGCCAGGGGCCCTTCAGCATCTTATGTGCAAAATCTCTGAAATGCATATGTTCTGAAATACAAGCATCTTTGGAATGGGTTAGTGCTGGCTGCTGCAACTGTGGGACAGGGCTAGTCTCACTCAGCTCCTTTCTCCTCTCTCAGCCATCTCTACTTCTCAGAGTCCTACCCCTTCCCAGAAAGGAAGTCCTGGAGACCAGGAGATGACAGCAACACTTCTCACAGCAGGGTTCCAGGTGAGTTGTACTGCTGCTCGCTGAAACCCCCTGGCCCTGCTTGGCAGTGTGGGTGGCATCTCCCTTTATGTCTGGACTCTCTGTAGCAGTACTGGCCAAGAACTTGCTCCAAATTCTTTTTGCATGATTCTTGATTATCCCCCAATAAATCTGGTGCATTTCCCTCTTCTTCCCAGCTTCTTTAGATCCCTTTACGCAGTATGTTCCCCCCTCTCAATCCTCTCCAACCCTGGCAGATCTCTGGCACTGTGGGCTGGAGCTATGGAACAGTCCCAGTCCCACATGGGGACTTTGTTTTGTTTCAGACTTTGGAGAAGATCGAAGACATGGCTGTGTCCCTAATTCGAGAGGAGTGGCTTCTTGATCCATCACAGAAGGATCCCAGCAGAGACAATGGGCCAGAGAATTACAGAAACATGTTCTCCCTGGGTAAGGAGAGCTCTGGTTATTGTTATCAGTTAAGATGTTTCGTTTGTTATGTGATGGTAGCTCTGAACTTTCTGAAAGACGTTGAGTTTAAACTCAGGAACTAACAGAGAGAAACAGTGCTATAAAATGGACTTCAATCTTCCAGTCCAGGACTTACTTTGGGTACTATTCTGTATGCAGTTGGAGTCATTTCTTCTGCTCCCAGTCCCATGGGATCTTTACCTAGATGTCATCCTATTAGGCCTTTTGTGCTCCGCCCTTTTAGTGACGGCGGCTTTTTTCATTTCTGTCCCATTAGGTCCCTCAGCAGTTCCATATTCCTTCCCACTCCCCTGCTTCTTGTCAGGTGACCCCTTCCTTGCTTTAGTGCCCTCCCAACATCCCTCTTTCTTCATGGCACTTCTTCCCCGTTTGGCCTGTGGTACTTCTGCTTGACCCTGCTTTCATCTCTCTCTCTCTGTTATGGCAGTATTTGGAGACAGATGGAAGTTTTGTGTTTACTGCTAGTTTTCCATGTATATTTCCCTTATGTTCGATTTCTTTTTAACATAGAGAATGGAAAGTGACATTGGCTTAATGATTCTCACATTTTCATTTCAGCTGGTGAGACCAGGAATGAGAACAGGGAATTATCTTCGAAACAGGTAATATCTCCTGGAATCCAACCACATGGAGAGACAGCTGCCAAATGCAACGGGGATGTTATCGGGGGTCTTGAGCATGGAGAAGCCCGAGATCTTCTGGGCAGATTAGAAAGGCAGCGGGGAAATCCCACCCAGGAGAGACGACATAAATGTGATGAATGTGGGAAGAGCTTTGCTCAGAGCTCAGGCCTTGTTCGCCACTGGAGAATCCACACTGGGGAGAAACCCTATCAATGTAATGTGTGTGGTAAAGCCTTCAGTTACAGGTCAGCCCTTCTTTCCCATCAGGATATCCACAACAAAGTAAAACGCTATCACTGTAAGGAGTGTGGTAAAGCCTTCAGTCAAAACACAGGCCTGATCCTGCATCAGAGAATCCATACTGGGGAGAAGCCGTATCAGTGCAATCAGTGTGGGAAGGCTTTCAGTCAGAGTGCGGGCCTTATTCTGCACCAGAGAATCCACAGTGGGGAGAGACCCTATGAATGTAATGAGTGTGGGAAAGCTTTCAGTCATAGCTCTCACCTCATTGGACATCAGAGAATCCACACTGGGGAGAAGCCCTATGAGTGTGATGAGTGTGGGAAAACCTTCAGGCGGAGCTCACATCTTATTGGCCATCAGAGAAGCCACACTGGGGAGAAACCCTACAAATGCAATGAGTGTGGGAGGGCCTTCAGTCAGAAGTCAGGCCTTATTGAACATCAGAGAATCCACACTGGAGAAAGACCCTATAAATGTAAAGAATGTGGGAAAGCTTTCAATGGGAACACTGGCCTCATACAGCATCTGAGAATTCACACTGGGGAGAAGCCCTATCAATGTAATGAGTGTGGGAAAGCCTTTATTCAGAGGTCAAGTCTCATTCGGCATCAGAGAATCCACAGTGGAGAAAAATCTGAATCCATAGGAGTTTAGGAAAAAAAAACCACAATCATAGTTTGGGCATTATTCAACTTTAGAGAAACCAAATGCTGGTGAGAGGTCTTTCAGTGTAGTAGTAAGTTTGTCATCATTGCAACCTCACTAGGGTCAGAATCGATAGTGGTGGTGGAGTTAGAATAGCTCTTCAGTAGTTTGGGCCAGTGCCTTGATGCAGGTGGATTAGCTTGACTGTCTTGGGAGGTGTCTGATGGAGTGGAGCTCCTGATGGTTTAATGTATCCTTTAGAAATAAAATAGCATTAGAGCAAGTTGCTTGTCATGGAGGCACTTAATTTTGTCTTTTGGGTGAGTAGCTGTAGGTTTGAGAGAGGCTACTCCTCCTAGTTCCTCTGCTTCTTCCCATCTCATGTGACCCTCTTCCCCCATTCATTCCCGAGGATCACTTGTGCTCCAAATCTGATTTGAGAAGCTACTTTAGAGTTTGAAGCAGCCTCTGTGTGAGACTTATTTTGTATTTAGCTTTCTAAGAACCTAGTTATAGGGAAATTTTTAGACACTTAATGTATTTTTGCTTAAGTGTGTGTTTTGTTTTATTCTAATGTTCCTGATAGTCAGTGGAAAACCGTATTCCCACGCAAACTCAGAATGCTATATTTTTAACAGCACTCCAGCATTTTTCTTCATATATCACCTTCACTGACTCCACTGAGTCATTGAACATCCATACGTATCCTTCACCACCCCCAGCCCCAGTACCTGTGTCAGCAAAGGAAGTGATGGTTGTGGGAATGAAGCAGAGAAAGAGGTGAGTGGAGACTCAGCCTGGCTGCTCTTGAGCTCGGGTGGTTGTACGTTCTGGTGACTTCTGGCTCTCCTTCCCACCTTCCCACTGAACACTGTGGTGGCACAGAGGTGGTAACGTTATCCCAGTTACAGCATCACGTGGGAGAAAGGGGAGACGGGTGCTTGAAGAAGACCTAAAAATCCTTACGAAGAATGTGTACACAGCCCTCTGGCGCATTATAGTACTGCCCTCTCAGGTTCTTACCAGTCTGCGCAAACCCCCGACCAGATGGTCTGTCACTCTTGTCATTACCCTGGTCCCACCTTGTTAGATGGCCTTAGTACCTCACCCTTCATTCCTCATCTGTTTCTTGCCATGAGCTTTCTGTGTCCACAGAGGTAATCTGTCCAATACTTCACCTCACAGCTCCTCATCCTTCTGAATTCTGGTGTACTCCATCTGTAATCCAGCAGAGACACAGTATTAACTCATCATCGCTGGGCACTATCTTTCTTGGAGGCTTTCAGTATACCAAAGGATATTATTATATAAGGTGATGAGGCTGGTTTAAGGAACACACCAGAATTTATGCATCCAGACATGGTTTGTCCTTTAAGTTCGGCACTTCTGGTTATTCCATTAGTGCTACCGCTCCTCCAAATATTTGGAAGACTTTTACCCTTGAATAACTTCTCATTTTTGACCATTACTCACTTGTTCATCACATTTGGAATGGAGTTACTTTTGGCTTTTTTCCAAAACCAGCTTTCAAAATTGGAATTGATTCCATTAATCCTGTTCAGAAGAATAGGATACACGCCAAGAGAAGTTACACAATTTCACACTGTTCTAAACAGGAACAACAATTCTTAACACGTATTGATGTTTTTCAAAAGGTCATAAAATCTTTCAGCATAAAGGTCTGCCTTTTGGATCATAAATTCCTTCTCTATAAAATCCCTTCTCTGCCCCACTGTGGCCCACCCTGATCACTAACAACATCGAGGTTACTACCCCTGTTTCATTGAGTCATTAATACCCACCTATCATTTGCCATCCTGGTTTCCTTGGTTAACTTTTTCAAAACAGTGCTTTCCATTATCTTTTGTTTTCTTACTCTCTCTTTTTTTTTTCCTTTTGGCCTGTAGATTCCCTTGTACTCAAAGGGAGTTCCATTCTTCATTCCCTTGCACTTGAAAGTTCAAGAAACCAGAAACAAATCTGGTTGTCTCCAGATCCTTGCTCTCTGCTTCAGTTGTGCCTTACCCTCTGTAAGGTACCAATTCTGCCTGAGGCCAGTGCTGCCTGTGTGCAGATACTATATATGATGGGTACATCGTCAGAGGGAAAATATGTGCACACATACACACAGTCCTCCCACGTAGTTCCGAGGAACACTTGTCTTCTATTCCAGTGAAAGCTCTCAGAGCAACATGTTAAAATGACTATAAGTATACCAGCTAACGTCTCTCTACTCACAGTAATGTGTAGCTACGTTACTTAAGTCTATAATTACTAAGCATCTGGCAGAAATTCAAAGAAAAGAATATATGCCCAGAAAGATTAGTGTGATCCCGGGATGAATGAGGAAGGACCGTGACTTGAAAGAACTATCGAGGTTAGTTCAGCCCACATATAGAAATAGCCACGTAGTGTAAAAGTAGAAGAGGCTGTTGTTTCTTTGGGGGCATACGTAGAAGTCCATTCTTGGTCTCCACTTCTCACTCTTTGCACTAGAGTGTTGTTGATCCATCTTTATGACCTTGAGCTCCTGACTGAGTGATGTGTGCTAAGTTCCTTTATATCCTGCAGATTCTATCTTTATGCTCTTAATCTGAAATGAACTGTTCACCAGTACTTCTCCCATCATGATCTCATTTTAGGGCCCAGCATGATAAAGTGGTTCTTCTGTAACTCTGCTGCCATCCAACTTAGTCCTAGAAGACGCATCTTAGGTTTCAAAGATTTCCGCCATTGAGCAAGGTGGCAGCGCTAGAATGTGGTGGATGATTCCCATACAGAGCAGTTAGCTTTACTCTTGGTCCTGAGACTCTAAATAGTAATAGCTGACATTTATTAAGCACTTACTGTGTGCCAAGCCCTATGCTAAGCATTTTTCATGGTTTGATAGATAGTATATCCCGCATTTTATAGATGAGGAAATAGGCTTAGAGGGGTGAGTGAGTTGACCAAGGTTCTGGAGCTGGGAAGTGACAGAGCAGGGACTCTGCCCTACAGGGTCAGATTCTCGAGCCTGTGCTGCTGACCCGTGTGCTACCATGTCTCTAATGAACACCCTGACCCTGGCCAGCCATCTGGAAATTCTGAATCCCTGGCCGTAAGAGTTACTGGGGAAGGGAATGCACAGTATAGTATAGTACAGATCCATTGCAACTATCGGATAATTGGTTGAAAATGTTATTTTGGTTGATACTTTTGATGCTCTGTAGTACTAGAAAGCTAAATGGTACAAGTAAAACATGTTTAAAAGAGTAACTCAGAGGATAAAGCAATAATGTACAGATTCGAGTACATTTCTCTCTAAAAACTGCCCCAGGGAACTAGAATTGTGAAGGGAAATGAAATATCCATGTGCCGTGCCAGGCCAGGCATATGGTCGGTTGGGATGACAGTAAAATTTACCTACAGCATAAAATGTGGAAACCCTTCAACTTCACTGCCCATTTCCAACTGCCATTCTGTTTTTCTTCTGTCATTCATGATTTTTCAAACGTACCATCCATCGGTCAATCCCATTTTCTCATTACTATACTCTTGAAACTTCTTACTGGCTTTTGTACTCAGTATTCCACTGAAGTGTCCTATGGATAAATATCAATGCCTTTTCTTAGTTCTTGTCCTTGATCTGTATTTCACACTGTTGAGTTTACCCTGCAACTCAGGAATTCTCTTCTTTGGCTTGTGGGATCCTTTTTGGTCATTTTCCTCCCAGTTTCTAGCTTTATTGGTCTTTTTTCTCCTCTCCACGGAAAATAACCTTCATGTCTTGATTTTTCCAGTATTTTTTCTGTATTCACTTCTATTTATTTTGATTGTTTATACTTACTGTATTTCAGTAACTTACTTCCCACCCTGTGGGTCAGATACCTACACAACTTGGTATTCGAAAACAGACCTCATCACTCTTGTCCCCCAGCTCCCATTTTCCTTTTAAATAGGCATTATTGCTTAACTTCTTTACCCTGAATAGACTCACTGCCCTTCATATTTCTTTTTTTTTTTTAAGTGGGCTCCATGCCCAACGTGGGGCTCAATCTCACGACCCCAAGATCGAGTCCTGAGCCCTACTGACAGAACCAGCTGGGCGCCCTGTCCTTCATATTTCTTATTCCCATCTTGTAGTTGTCTTTGTCTTCTTCTGCTCTCCACTTGACATTCCAGTTCTTAGTTTTCTCCATGAGGCTGGATCTTTTACATTTCTGCCAACCCCTTATAGCTTTCTGCAGATCCATATCATCCAACGCCCAGGAAATTGTAATTTCTATTTTCCTTGCTTTCAAGATCCCCATCCTGTAATGCTTCTAAGGTGATCCTCCTCAGAATCCATTTTTAGTCCAGAACACTCAGCAGATGATTCTTATCAGAGCACTGGTGTTCCAAGTTCTCCCATTATTTTGCCCTTCATGCTTAATCTGCCTCTGCCTCATTCTCTGGCATATTCACCTCGACTCATCTTGTTCACACTGTTGTCTTACAAGCCCTTGCCTTTGTGCCTTTCTCATGCAGCATCTTTTGTTTAGATTGTTTTTGGCCCCAGCTCTTGTTCATCACTCCCTTCAAGCCTAGCTTCTTTGTATCTTCTGAGTGAGCTCTCTCTGACTTCACTTCACACTGAGACCTCCCTTGTTCTGTGCTGCCTCAGCACTTATCCTTTGAGTTTGTACTGTGGTCCATGCACTTACTAATACGTTGCTTTGTAATTATTTTCTAGCACTCTGTATTGTAGTTCACATTTGTATTTATTTCCAAAATTAAATTGTAAGCTCCTTGAGGGCAGGAATAATGACTTCTACATTTGTATCTCTGCACCCCCTAGTGCCTAGTACAGTGCTGAGCACACAGTAGGTGTTTAATAAATGCTTGTCGAATCATTGTGTGGATTATTTATGGAGTTACCTACAGAACATTTTAAGCTGTCTTCAAGACTTATATGTCTCTTACCACTTTGTATGCAGATCTGTTTCTGTAGTACAGCTATAACTGCCTGTTC